TTGTAATTATGGATTCATTTTAAGAATAGCAACATTATCTAGAAGGTACTTTAAGTCCAATCACAGTATATACAAATCACAAGAATCTCAAGTATTTCATATCAACATGCATTTTGAATCGTTGTCAAGCCTGTTGGAGCATGTCATTATCAAGATTTGATTTTAAGATCACATATCGATCTAAAAAATAACAAGTATGTCCTCTGATCGTCTTATTCATGATATCAAGAATCTTTCTTCTAAGTCTCATGATGTTTCAAAGTTCTAGATTAAGAACAATCTACTCTATTTCGAAGGATGACTATATGTTCTAGAAGGAGAAACACGTTTACATGTTTTCAAGCACTTCATGACTTTCCAGCAACATGACATTTTGGATACAATAAGACTTTAGAGCTTATATCTAGAGATTTTTGGTGGCTATAAATATGAAAGATATCCAGTTGTGTGATATTTTTTCAAGATCAATAACTCCTTGTCATCAATCTTATCAACTTTTTCAACCATTGCTTATATCCAAATAACCATGGTCTTCTATTTGTATGGATTTTATTTTAAATTTTTTAAGTTCAAGTTCATATAACTCTATATTTGTAATTTTAGATCACTTCACCACAATGGCACATTTTATACCATGTATAAAATCCATTTTAGGTGAAGAAAAAATTAAGCTTTTTATTGACAATATCTATTGCTATCATCGATTGCCAAAGGATATTATATCAGTTAGGAAGACTCAATTTGTATCAAGATTCTAAAAAATCCTATTCAAGATTCTAAAAGTGGATATAAAGTTCTCTTCAACTTTTCATCTTCAAATTGATAGGAAAATAGAACATGTGAATCAAGTTTTGGAGCAGTATTTGAGATGTACTATCAATTATCATCAAGATGATTGAACAACTCTTTTGCCATTGGCAGAGTTTGCATACAATGATCTAGTACATTCTTCTACCCAACAAATACCTTTCTTTGCCAATTATGGTTATCATCTTTAATTTAATACTTTTAACTTTTTAAAAATTGATAATTCTATGACAAAACATTTAGCAAATTGTTTATCAAAGCTACATGCAACAATGAAGGCACAATTAAAAGAAGTTCAAGAACAACAAAAGATCAATACGAATGCCTATTGGAAGGAGCAACCACAATTTAATATGGGTGATAAGATATAGTTACTTCATATTAATATTAAGATTGTTTGTTCTTATAATAAGTTGGACTATCGTAGGCTTGGATCTTTTTTTATTAGTGAACAAGTCAATCTTATTGCTTATTAATTATATCTATTAGAGTCTATGAAGATCCACCCTGTATTTCACATATCCCTTCTTGAGATGTATAAAACAGTGAATATCTCGAGAAGAAGACAAATGCCACCTCTCGCTATAGAAGTAGATAATAATCAAGAATTCGAGGTGGAAAAAGTCTTAGATTCAAGGTTGCACCAAAATAGATTGAAATATTTTATTCATTGGCATAGATATGATATTAATGAACAAACATGGGAGCTAATAAAAAATCTTGCAAATGCAACAAAGATAGTTGAAGCTTTTTATTGATAGCATCTATTAAAATCAAGATAAAGAATAACAAATCTTTGCTATAAAAGAAACAAGATCAAAGGAAAATAATATTCTATCTTTTATCTTTCTTTGAAGCTTTTGTAGATTTGTGACACTAAAGAGATGGAGAACCAACAATGAGTAGATTCAACCTAAAAGCTTTCATTTGCAGACTTATTAGATGAGACATTATAATTGTCACAACCTTCAAGATGACAAAATCAAGATGAAGATCCTCAAAAACAACATGTCTTTCATCAAAGAGATGGCGAGATATAGCGTGTTTGGTATCCTGACCTTGGAAGAGAGTTTTGATGTTTGGTGATTTTATTTGAGGTAGAAACAACTCTTGATGGTATTTCAAACATTTTATTAAAAAAATTTATGAAGGCCTAAAAAATGATCAAATAATAAGGTGGTCTTTTTTCCCCAGTATTGGATACTATCAATAGCTGAAAGGACCTATCAACCATCTTCAAATAGAATAAAGATCAAAGTATGTGGCAAATACAATTTGTTGCATCTTAAATTTCTTCAACATATGAGGACTGCTCTTCGTGGAACTTGTTCCTAGAAGGAAGAATAATATCATGGATATATATAGATATTCTAATATATATCTTTATGATTACATAAAAGTAGATAAAAGTAGGTAAATTTCATAATACCTTCTAGAAAAGCTTCCTAGAAGCTTTATAGATGATGTTTTGATTTTATATATGTTTATAGTTGATTGGTAGGTTAGAAACTAAGTCAACAAATTAATCATGTATTGGTGGCTTGCAGAAGAAACTAATTATGTGATATACATATAAAAAACTTGCCTTACAAGTTATGCTACGTGTCTTGTAAAGTCAACACATTTTGGAGGTCCTATAGGACATTGCCACGTAGCTCCTAGTTAAGAGTATATATGGAGGCAAGAGTGAAGTCTTCTTCATTCTTGTCAATGCCTTTCTAGATCTTAGTCTTATTTTAAGACTTTCTAGTCTTCTTGTTTTTAGCAATAGCCATTCTAGTTCAACATTCTATCATCTTTTAGTGACTTTCTAATTCTTTTCAATGACACAAGAGTGTATTGAGGATTTTCTTACTTCAAGATTCATGTCCTTAACATATCCTATTATCAAAGGGAGAATTTTTAGACTAGATTTCTTCATGAATATAATGATTTTTTTTTTTTTTTTTTTTTTTTTTTTTTTGCACTTTTTAGGTATATTAGAATGATCTACTCCCGTCCATCCTAAATCATACTAGTTTAATCTATGCCACTTATGGACAACTATTTCTCAAATTTCATAAATAAACACATCTATTCTACAAACTTGTATTTAAAAACTCAAATCTGGTTATTATTATACTTAATCAATAGATCCTTGTATGTATAGATTGTATACTTTTTATTATTATTTTCATATGCATGTTGCTTTCTCACAAAACTTGCATTCCTCCCCAAGTACTTTACCTATGACATCTTATTTCTTGTACCTCCCTCTCTTCTTTTTACTACATTTTATACCAAATTAACCAATCCACACTTTTAAAAATAAATCCAATCAATCATGCAAGTATTTAAAATCCAAGTTTCACTTTGTACTATGGTATAGATCAAGTTTTGCTTTGCATTGTGTACTTATTCATAATAGGTGCAAGTGCAGCAACCTCCTCAACAAATTACAAAATTACAATTATACTTTATCTTGGAAGAGAGAAATAAAAATAAAATAAAATAAAATAAAAAATAAAAAACTTACTTACAATAAATTCCACTTGCAAGCTTTGAGCTTTGAGAAGTCTGTCTATTATGAAGTGGGACAAAATAAAGTAGATTAAGGCCAAATATAATAAAAAGGCTTAGATTGTAGAGTACAACAAAACCTGTAATTGATAACACAACACAATTTGTAATGGAAAATTCTTAAAATATTTTTAGATAAATTAATTTGAAAAAATTATCTAAAATAATAATTATTTTAAATAAAAAATTATAAAAAATATAAAAAATATGATTATATTAGCCTTGCTAAAAGTAATTGTTTAAAAATAAGCATAAAAAACTATTATTAAAAGGTCATTTATTTCACATAATTTTTTGACATAATTATTTAAATTTAATCATTTTTAAATATTACAAAATACTTGTAGTACAACATAATTAAAACTTTAATAAAAATTTTGTGATTAATTATAAAAAAATACATTTTTATCGTCTTTATTTATTTTAAATACTAGGATAGCATTATGTTAAATAATAATGCCATTTTAGGTCTTCTGTTACTACAAGATTAAATTGTGATTAATTTAAGCTTTCATTTTTTTTGGCACTTGTTCGTTTCTTAAAAAAATTATTTTATGTTTTAATTTTTTTGTTAAAAAGATTTTCAATCCAAAAAATACCATGTGAAAAAATGATTTTAATTACAATTTTGCTAATTGAAAAATTTCAGAGATTTGTGAAGATTTTTATGTCTTTGTATCTTTGATTTTATTATTGAAATGTTAATTTATAATTAGCTCTAAAATGGATTGATTGTATGATATTTTTCATTTAATTTTCAATCAATTCATAAAAGACTTGGAAAAGAGTATAAACTGTTCTAAACAGAATAAAATAACAACAAAGATAAAATAAAAGATGTAGTTGTCTAAAGATATTTCTATACAATTTATCCAAGTGTTATTATCCATAAATAACTATTATTCATAAATATTCTTACAGTTAATATTAACTTGATTTTATTTTTCAATTAATGTTCTATTGTAATCTTTATATATTTTAGAAATTTGTCAACATGATGTAGTATGAATAAAGAACAAGTAATAGATCAGATATTTGGTTATAAATGAATTACAATAAATTCGTTTTTTCAAAAAATAGAAATAAATAAATAAATTATGAACATTATTTTCAGAATAGAACCACTTACTTGACTTGATTAAGTAGGCCACGATAGAGTGGGCCAGGGATGGATGACATTCAATGCCCTTGGTTGCACATTGAGGCACATAATTGTTACAATCAATATAAACCACATCACCATCAATTGAGTATTAGAATTGTATATTTTCAAAGAATGATACAACAATAAACATTACAAGTAAGCCAAACTGTGTCGATTCCACATAATTTTGTACATTAACTAGAATAAGAACTAGAATTTTACATGTATCAATAATTAAATAATAAAAAAGAACCCAAAGGATATTAACAGGTTAATCTCAATTCTCCCACCCCCTCTCACACCCCCCCCACCTTGCAGACTTGGAACAGCTAACCTACATCCTATAGACGGATGATCTCATCCATTCATCCCATGCCAGTCGTCGTCGAACAAAACGAACGAAAATCGTCCTCGAGTAACGATACGACCGTTCATTGACGATATCTAGTAAGTAAGTCGTGGGGTCTCGTGACCGTTAGGGCGCCAAGTTTGAACTTGGGAAGGAGGCTGGATCGCTGTCTCCGCACACTGTGTGTGTTCCAGGCCATCGCCGAAGCTCCTTTACAACCTCCTCCCCTGCTCTCCTCTTCGCCCTGTCTGTCTCCTCTGCCTCCTCCCGGTAGTCCTAGAACACGCCTCGGATGCTAACCACATCCAGCTGAGTGTCGTTTATTTTCTGGGTTTTGGTTTGATTTTGTGGGTGATGGTTATTTAGGAGGACGAATTTTCTTGTGGATTTTAGGAAGCGTAGGGTTAATGAGTTCATTGAGTCGTTGTATTAATGACGGCGTGGCGAAGGAGAGTCTGAGGTGAAGAGAGCAGGGAGACTTGCGTGGTCGATCTTTAGGATATGTGGAATGCGCTGCAGTGGGCTAGATAGATTGATGGAGCAGTGACCTGAAATTTTTTTCCCCTATTCAGGAGCTGTGTCTGTGGTGTAGTCGGGGACTGCGTGATTGTCGAGTTGCGGACGTTGTGGAGGTTTTTTTGAGATGGGTTCTGATGCTGATGTCAAGGTGAGACCCCGATCTTGACTCAGTGAGTGTGTATGCTAATGCGTGGACCCTTTGTGAGGGGATGTCTGACATTTGTCGCTGACCACTCTGATTGCTAGTATGTGCGCCAGGAAAGCCAAGGTGCGGGGGGTGACAGTATAGCGGAGAAACGATGGTCGCTAACGGATTTTGACATTGGGAAGCCGCTGGGCAGGGGCAAGTTTGGGAACGTCTACCTCGCGCGTGAGAAACAGGTGAATACGAGCTATCGCTATTGTGTATCTAAGAGACGATATACCCATGCGTTTTAATATGCGACCTGGGTTGAAGGAGGTGTTTGGATTGAGTGTCGAATTATGCATTCAGAATTGCCTGGTTCATGAGACAGCAATCCTCTACACATTCCTAGGACGCAGTGGTATCCCGTAACTGCGGGGAGCCGAACTTTTGGCGTGTCTCTACTTTAGGTTTTGTACATCGTACGTCTTACTAAATGGTGATCCATCACGGTTGAATTCTTGCCCATTATTTTCGTTTCATTTTGGGAACAGAGCAAGTATGTAGTGGCGTTGAAGGTTCTCTTCAAAAATCAGTTGCAGCAATCCCAGGTTGAGCATCAACTTCGTCGCGAGATTGAGATTCAATCGCACCTTCGCCATCCCAACATCCTTCGATTGTACGGATACTTCTATGATCAGGTATTCGCGTGTATTGAGCTGAGAAGAATTCGGTATTGAATGCAAATTACAGTTAGAATATGTCCTGAGATTGTCCGGAAGCGGACGCTGTCCGTGGTTTACCCCCTGCAACTGAGTTTGAATGGGACAGACCTGGATCAGATTTTTCTCGTGGGTTATAATTTCATCCGCATCGTCCGTTTGCGTTACCCGGGGGCGCCATTAATTCTCTCATGATTTTCGCTCTGTCGACAGGCACGTGTGTATCTGATTCTCGAGTATGCTGCCAAAGGTGAACTCTACAAGGAGCTTCAGAGGTGTAAGGTTTTTAGTGAGAAAAGAGCAGCAACGGTACAATACAATCCTTGCACCTTCTTTAGTCGATCTGGGAACTTACATTGAGAATTGATGTTGTCCAAACTCAATCCTACTGGCACGCACTCATATCCGACGTACACATCTCAAACTAATATCTCGAAGATGCGTAGCGGGTTTGATGGTGTGGAAGTAATTATTCAAGTCATTTCATACAAAAGATTGGCCTTTCGTCTCATTGCCATGCCTCTCATCGCTGTGCAGTACATCGCCTCACTTGCACGTGCCCTCATGTATTGCCACGAGAAGCACGTCATCCACCGAGATATCAAACCTGAGAATCTCCTAATTGGACTGAAGGTGATCAGATGCTCCACCCTAATATCACCACACCGCCGTTTGTGTACCTCCAGATCTGAAGCTGTGCCTACCGTTCTGGTTTCTAATACAGTTGTTGCAGGGTGAGCTGAAGATTGCAGACTTTGGATGGTCCGTGCACACCTGCAACAGACGAAGGACTCTCTGTGGAACCTTGGACTACCTCCCTCCTGAAATGGGTATGACCGCGCTTTCATCCAACCAAATTTTACTTATCTGTATTAAACGCTGTTCGTTTTCTGAATCGATAAAGCTTCCGTCCTGTTGAGCAGTTGAGGGCAAGGAACATGACGCGGGTGTGGATGTGTGGAGCCTGGGCATCCTTTGCTTCGAATTTTTGTACGGCACTCCACCTTTTGAAGCGAAGAAGCATTCAGATACGTATAAGCGGTATGTCCTGTTGCCACAACATGCCCTTATCCGCATCTCTGCATTTCCCCTCAGTTCTCGTGGTCCTACTCAAAATAGAATTAAACTGGGATTGATTGGGTTGAAATCTGTCGTATTCTTGTGCCCAGCGAGGAAATTCTCAGTGGTGTATTGTGGTTATTCTTTGCAGCATCGTCCGTGTTGATCTGAGGTTTCCATCCAAACCTGTCATCTCTTCATCGGCCCGAGACCTTATCTGTCAGGTTGATTGCTGTATTATTCCCTTTGAACTCTTCCTTTTGAGAACTTGATTAATTCCGAAATCTCTTTGTGTTGGTATATCTGATGAAGGTTGGTCGATTCTATGTGCAGCTCCTGGTGAAGGATTCGGCTCAACGATTGCCTCTCAGCAAAGTGCTTACGCACCCGTGGATTGTAAACAACGCCGACCCCAGCGGCGTGTACAATGGCCACAATTGACTCACATCCACGAACCGGGTTACAAGCTCTGTTACCCATTCTGTCCGTACAAGTGGGTGGAGATGATGGTGGGGGGCTTCGACTTGGAATATGGTTTTTGCCAAGGGGCCCACACGGGAAGAAGCCCAGCCACTATTGGAGTGAACTGTCATTAGTTGAAAGAATTCGTCTGTACCCACTGAGTAATCCAACGAAGTCAGCGTAAAGAGAATTAGCGTGGGATGAGACTTTCAATAACTTTCTGTTGCTAAGATTCTCCCGTGAAAACGTGCTCAATATGGCATATTTGAACAAGTCAGGAGTGAACCGTCCTGCATTAGTGTTGATAGTCATACTAATTCCAAGAGATAGGCGGTTGCTATCCGGTTGCAAATTATGGTATAATTGTTAAAGTCAGGATTGTTCCGTTCCGACCTTTTAGTCTTTCCTAGACCAAGAGCTGGTCAATTGCCCACCCACATGTATACCATGTAAATTAAACTCAAGATATGCAGATGATTTCCTCATGATCCGACTCTATGCATGCGTCATAAATCAAAATTGATAACTGCTTCACAATTTCTTAGTATTACGCTACACATGATATGATATAATGATATAATAAATATGTATAAATAAAAAATAAAATAATGCAGAATATGCATACGTTACTAACTCTTCATCAGTATATCTTGCAAAAGAATTAGTCAATTTAACGTGTAGAATTTTTTACATTAAAAAACACAGTAGTTTTTAGTAAAAACCAATATCGTAGAGGTTGGTCACTCTTGTTTAAAATGAGAATTTTGCTTTATTAAAAAAATTTCGATGTTGGTCAAAATGTTGAACATAATACATGTATTTCTCTTCTTCCAAAAGTATATTCTTCTGGCCTTTCAAGCTAAACACCAATTCCACCAGAGAAACCTTCATTTCTTTACATGCCTAGTTTGGAGTATAAAATCTGTACCCCAGGGTACTCATATAAAAAAATGCATAAGTCCATAAAAATAATCTCTAAACTTACACACGTTGATTCTTAAAAGAAATCATGCACCATCACCTATGCTTTAAGGACAAAACAAGCATAGAACGGACAAACATGTACCACGAGTAATTATAACGCCTTTGTTGTACGAAAACACAAACTGAAATGAATAAACCAAGCAAGACAGTTAAAACTTTTCCCGATTCTTCATGAATTAAACCACAGTATAAAAGATTTACAACCCAAAGGACTCGATTACTTACTCGCTAACATTAAACTGTTATAAACCCCTTTGTTTACGCATAACTGGACAATGTATTGATGTCACGCAAGTGATCTTTTGATGTCATTCAATCTCATTTACTCTCATTCTAGGGCTTACAGAGCGTGAAGCTTAATTGGTAGGTCCAATGAGCAGTAAAATCAGAAACATATCACAATCTAGCAAAAGCCAGAGTGTGAAGCCACAGGATGGGCGCAGGAAGACGACGACGACGGCGATGTCGAGCACGAGGTTGAATTTACCCGGAGCTGGCGCTGCAGGCGGAAGACTGCTGCGATGGGAAGGGGGGCTGTTTCCAGAGGGACCCACCTGCAATGGTGCTGCCACTGTGCAGCTCTCTCTCACTTTCACAGCAACGGGGGGTTGTGAGGTTCAGTCAAACAGATGTCTCTCAATGATATGCTACCATTGCTGTTGGAGTCTTTCTTATGTTCACGGTGGGGCGTGTGGGGTCCTTGCTCTCTTTCTCTCTCTGTCTCTCTCTGTCTCACTTGCTCTCGCATCTCTTGTATCTCGCATCTCTCGTATCTATCATCTCTCCCGCTTAGATCCCATGTGTGAGCTTCGCGAAGTGCCGAAACCGGCACAATTGAGTCCAGGGAGGAGCTTGGTAGACGCCGGCCGAGGAAAAGTGCAGACTCGAACAGAATGGTGAGCTAGCTCGCGAGGTGGGGGAGCAATTTGAGTTGCAGTGGTGTGGCGTTGCGATCCGTGGTAGCGCTGAGACGAGCCGAGGAAGAAGACCATCCTCACGGTGGGTGCCAGGGGAACGGAGCCTGGCTTTGCCTTGCTGGTTGTGTGTCTGTAGGACTTCGTCAACACTCGAAGTCTTTTGGCGTCAAAGTTGGGGGCGGGTCCCGATGTGTAGAATGATGGTATAATGACGTATTTTTTTAATCGCCGCGTGGCTTTGAAGTAATCTCTGCAGGATTTCTGAAAACCTGGGTTTTGTCCGTCGATGTTTCGGCTCGTCGGTAGTCTTGAGTTGTGGAGGTTGGGCGGAGCATAATTTTTTTTCATGTTTTTGAAGTCAGCAGTTTTTCTATAGAAACGAGTGTGTGTCGGACTCAAAGTCTTAGTTTCATGGACTCTAGCTTGTTTTTGCATCGCTTTGTTCGTGGATGCTTCATATATGTTTACGGGTTCCTTCACAAGCTAGATTTCTCGGCAGTCAGCGGTTTGCTGCTGAAGAGAAACTTTGAGGATACAGTAGCGTTGTTACCCGTGTTTCTGGGTTAGTACTGGTGTGCGAGACAGAAAAATTTAATTCTAGAGTGTAGTTGAAGACTCCAGGTTCATCACCATAGCTGCCAGAAACGTCAGAAACATTCGAAAGCTGTTTCTCTTGTTATAGTGATTGTGGGCAGCTTCTTCACTTGAATGGCTCATGCTGATGGCGACTCTGATTTTTATACACGTAGAGGCTCAAGCTGAATGGAGTGCATGAGTGCAATGACGGAGAAGCTGTGAAGCCAATAGGGTTGAGCTGCACAGTAAGGGAGGGCTTTTTGAAAATTACGTGGCCGCGGAATTTAAGAGGAAGGGTTGGGCAACAGAAAGAGAAGTGCATTGAAGACTTATGTCAGTACCCCAAACCCTTAACGAGCCTTGTGTACAATCAAGGATTCTTAGGTTCTTTAGGAACATGCTTGGTAAGACAAAAGTACATAAAATGGATGGAGAGCGCAAGAATTTTGTCAGATTCCGACCCCAGTTGGACTCACAAATCTCCATGGGCTCCGAGAGTGATACGCCGCTGCAGTCGGCATTCAGCATTGATTCTACTGCAGTGCGGCGGAGCTGGCAGTGGCAGAAGAGCTCTGTAAGCTTCTTCAAGCTGGGCAATACGCTACTGTTTAAGAGCTCTCCCCAGGACATGCCTGAGGAATCCAAGTGGTACTACGTTCTGGACCCTGCAAGCCCAGCTCTTCACCGGTGGAATACTTTTTTTCTTATTTCTTGCTTGGTGGCTGTCTTCATCGATCCCCTCTACTTCTACCTCCCGAAGGTGAATTATGACCGAAGCTGCATTACAATTTCGAGAGACTTGCAGATAGCAGTGACTGTGTTCCGAACCATCACGGATTTCTTTTATGTTGTACACATGGGGCTCCGGTTTTGGACGGGATTCATTCCGCCATCCACGAGGGTCTTTGGACGAGGGGAGCTTGTGACTGACCGCATGGCCATTGCGAAACGATACTGCAAGTATGATTTCTGGGTGGACTTTGTGGCCGTTTTGCCGATTCCTCAGGTAGATACTTCTAATCAGGTTTGGAATTTTTCGATTTCGCCATTTTCCTTTTTGGTGGCGCATCGCTTATTCGTATTCCTAGGGATAGTGATATGATAAGCTTATCCTAGGGTGGCTGTGGCAGGTTGTGATTTGGCTTTGGGTGCCAAGCAGAGGAGCGGCAAAAGTGAATATCAACACGAAGAATGCGTTGCGGTGGATCGTGGTCATTCAGTATGTGCCTCGCATGTTGCGAATCTTCCCCCTGCTGTCCAAAATCATCAGCTCTACTGGTGTTCTTCTGGAGACTGCGTGGGCTGGGGCCGCCTTTAACCTTATCCTGTACATACTTGCAAGTCATGTAAGAATCTTCCCCTCCATTAGATTTCCAAATGTAGAACGATAATTTAATTAGTTTGGTTCAATCGTGGCATGTCACACACATTTTAAATCCAATCAGGATGCCAAATCTTTGTAGGAGCACTTCACGAAGATAAATTCGATTCAACCTAATTATTCTTGATTTCAATGAATGTAGAATCATCTAAATTGTTCGTATTTGCGGTCTGTGTAGGTGTTGGGCGCTGTTTGGTACCTGTTTTCGGTGGAGCGGCAAGATACGTGCTGGACTAAAATGTGCAAAATTGGAAATGGGATTGACTGTGGGAAAAGCATGTTTGATTGTGGACGTTACATCGATCGTACCGTCGATCTTCCCTGGGGAGCGAATTTGACCAACTACTGCAACACGGTTGCAGACGGTGGACCCTTCAACTATGGGATTTATAAGAATGCAATTACCACAAAGATCGCTAGTCACACGATGTCTTTCTCTAAGACTTACTTCTACTCCCTGTGGGTTGGCTTGCTCTCTCTGAGGTACAGTCTTGTTCCTTCGGCTTTCCCCCTTCAGCTCGCGACACAAAAGCCAGTTTTTGAGGGCATTCACTGACAATAGAAAGTATTTCTCCGAGAGTCTCAATTCTCTGTTCTTTTTTGTTTTGTAGTTCCTTAACGCAAACTTTGGAAGTGAGCACTTTTGTCGGGGAAATCATCTTCACCATAGTGATCATCATCATCGGCTTGCTCTTGTTTGCTTTCTTGATAGGTAACATGCAGGTCTGTTCTCGAAGTCTCACCTCCTCTTTGCTCAGATTTTAAGTAAAATAAACAGTGGACTTGGTCATCCTGCTATATGTGTTGACAATTGGGATTGGGGATTTATCAGACATACCTGCAATCTCTCACACTGAGGCTGGAGGAGATGCGAGTGAAGCGGCGGGACACAGAGCAATGGATGCGTCACCGAAATCTGCCGCCGCATATAGTGGAGCGAGTACGGCGTTATGACCAGTACAAATGGGTGGCCACCCGGGGAGTGGACGAGGAAACGCTTGTGCAAAGCCTCCCTTCCGACCTTCGTCGAGATATCAAACGACATCTATGTTTGAATCTTTTCAGCGAAGTAAGTGTTCAGCGTCCACTTTCTTAATAATCCCGATGCATCCTTCCAGAAATGGACAACTTATTTATTGACTATCGTTTTAGTTTAATTCTGTTTCCCGGATATCACACTTGGTTTGTTATTAATCTTAAGGTTCTGTATCTGTGTGTTGCAGGTGCCGTTCTGTGACCAGATGGACGAGAGTTTGCTGGACGCTCTGTGCGAGCGTCTACGCCCTGCGCTTTGCATTGAGGGCGCTAACATCCTTCGAGAGGGCGATCCTGTGAACGAAATGTTTTTCATCATTCGGGGTGAAGTTGAATCAGTGACGACCAACGGTGGACGAACCGGATTCTTCAACAGAGCAATTCTTCGCAGCGGAGCCTACTGCGGAGAGGAGCTTCTCACCTGGGCCTTGGATCCCAAACCCCAAAACCATCTCCCAATCTCCACCCGCACAGTGAAAGCCGTGAAGGAGGTCGAAGCATTCTCTCTCTCCGCAGACGACCTGAAGTTCGTCGCCAGCCAGTTCCGGCGCCTCCACAGTAAGCAACTGCAACACACTTTCAGGTACTACTCCAACCATTGGCGCACCTGGGGAGCCTGCTTTATTCAATCCGCGTGGCGGAGGTACCAACGCCGCCGCTTGGCCGAGCTCCATCGCAAAGAGGAGGACCAATACATGGCTCTACAAAGAGAACCCATGGACAAGCTCAGCCTAGGGGCCACCATCTTGGCCGGGAGGTTCGCAAAGAACGCTATGCGCAGCGTCCATCGGCTCCGCAACATGCGTGCCATTGAGCTTGCCCGAATTTCCAACATACCCAAACCCTCTGAACCCGACTTCTCGCAAGACACATGATCACCGACCCACGATTCTTTTACACAGGCCGTGCTCGATGTCGTGCGAGTGGCATGAGGGCTTACGCCGAGATGAGCTTCTTCTGCTTCTGCATGTCATCCCTTTCTTATGCCATCCCGTCGCTCCATCGCGCATCTGCGTGGTCTCCCGTGCTCTCATCACGGTGTATGTTTGCCCATGGAATTGCATGGGCTCTGAGACACGCAGCGGCACTTGTATGAACAGCAGCGCGAGGCAGCGACGATACGCTCTCCGCGTACAGACTAGAAAAAAACCTAGAAGATTTGTACAGCGAAGGTACGCACGTGACCAATTTCGTAACCTAGTTTAATAGCAGCTGCAGCAACAGCAGCATTTCAACTGACGATTCGCGACCATCGCAACTCCGCTGGTTAGATGAATGTAAAAGGAAACCATAAAGTAGCGCTGTCATATTTGGATTTCGATCCTTGCTGATCGCCTTTTCCAACTGATTCTTCCCACGTAATGATGCATGTCTGCCGCCGCATGAGTCTCGTTCTTGCCTATTCCTTACGTTGGTTGATGAATTGCCCGAATCGAAGCGATGTCGGTGCCTCAGGGAGATTTGTGTCGGTACACGTCGATCCGAAAGCAACGAAACAAATATCTTGGACCGACGTATACCGACACTAATATCCTGGAAGCACAGACACCGATAAATGCTTGGAGATGCTCGTTGCCGTAGATTTTGGTTGTGCTAGGTAATTAATTTAATCTCGATAGTTAAACTTTTCTACTGTACATAAAACGAAATAAGTTAAAAAAAAATCAATTTTATTAAGGTATTTTATGAAACAATTTAGCTGTTTACATTGCTACATTTTTGCACAAAATAGTTGAATTTTTTCTTACACATAATGTATGCTTTGTTTTTAAATACTTTAAAGTGTAGTTAATGTTTTTAAATACTTTGGATTGTAGTTATTGTTGTTAAATTTTCTTGATGAATAAATTAAATGTGAGAAAACTATATGCATTAAAGTTCAATATCAATAAAAAGTTTACAGTAAATAATTCTAGATTTATATAGAATAACTTTAGTTAAAAACTACTAAAAATATGTTTTATTTATAAATGATATAAGATATATTTGAAAATAAATAAATAAATAATTTAAGATTAATAACACAATTTTTAAAAGTGACATTTTACTTGTTCAATGTTAAATCATTTATTACTTTTGTTAAAAGTAGAAACGCATCAAACCAAGGAATTAAGAAGTAGAAAAAAAAATAAAAATAAAAAATAAAAACAAGATGTTACATTAGAAACAAGATCATATAAGATTAAGAAAAAATATATACTTCAATTGCTTAAGATTTTGTGTTTGAAAAACCAAAGAATTTCTTGAATTTCTTCTATTTACATACAATAGCAACAAGGTCTTATTAAAGCTTTTAGAAGAGATTTTAAGAACTAAGAAAACTTTTAGAAGACTTTAGATATTTCTAAAAGCTGTATAAATAGTCATAGAAAGTTCTAGAAGTTTTTATAATATCATAGAAGGTTTTTAGAAACTTTTAAAAACTACAAACATTCTAAAATTCTCATAGAATATTCCAAAAGGTTCTAAATGCTTGTAATAATTTGTAAAAAGTGATGTAAATGTATATGATATTTTAAACACTTCTATAAGTTTCTAAATGTATTTGAGGTTTAAGGTCTTGAGATTCTATAAGAATCTTTCAATTTGATAAGATAACATTTAAGATAACAATTTGATATCTTACTAAGATAATATTTGGCTCAAAAAAATAAGAGACCATTGATATGCTTTAAGTGGTCTTTTTATTTTAATGGCAAAAGAAAAAAAGAAAAAAAGAAAAAAAGAAACATTACTATAGTTAATTAAATAGAAAAAACTACATAGCCTTTAAGATATTTCAGCACATCTAATAATAAAATAATGAATTAATAGATCAAATCTTATCTTAGTAAACTTAATGATTTTTTATTTATTACAAAATTAAAGTTATTTATCTATTGTATGGATTTGGACAAGAAAATAGAAGAGAGATGCCAAAACATTAAATGGTGCCAAATTTTAATTTATTTACTATAAATATTATATTTATTATTGTATCAAATTATTATTATTTTTAATGTTTTTAGATTTTCAAACCTTTTTGATAATTTGCAAAAAAATTATAATAATAGAAATATTAAATTAAAAATCTATACTGACATTATAAATAAGTAATAATGTATTAGCAATAATACAGATGTGCAAGATGAATTTATTTTTGAAAAAATAAAAAATAAAATATAAATATAAATATATATATATATAAAATAATAAAATACAAACCCAGTTTTTAAGCTCAAAACATATTTTAAATAAGACTATATTTTTGAAATAAGGAAATTTACATCAATAAAACTTATTAATAATTTAGATATCTAAAAGCTACATTCAACAAAAGACAATGAACATTCAACAAATATATCTTATAAAGCTAAGAAATTTATGCAAGACCATTAAAAACAACACATATAGCTGATTTAGGTTCATGATAAACTATAATAAGATAATTTTCTATGAAATAAGAATGTATGGAATTGATAGTTGTTATTTAAGCATCTTAAAGGTAGTATAGTAAATTTATGAACATAAAGCACCTTTAAAACTTAACCTACAAAGATTTCGTGTATAAAAATACTTAGAAGTATCAAACTTTGTATGAATAAAAAAATATATAACTTTAACAAAAATTAGAGATATTGGAAAAATAAATAAGGAAATAATCATAGTTCCAAATTTCTAAAACTTTTTAGGTTTTAAAGCACTTAGATACAAAAAAAACTATCTTTTTGATTGCAAGAAAACAAAAGCCACTTAAATATAAGATATTGCCTAACTTGTTAAAATAATTTAAAAAAAGAAGAAGCTTTGCTTTTAAGATCTAAATATCAAAACATATTTTGTAGCCTAGAAGTATTTTTTACATGCTAGATATTTATATATCTAGTTTTTTTAAAAAACTACTTGTGACTCCAAGTATTTTTTTGTATTATTATTATTATATCTAAAAATTATTTATATCATGAGTTTAGTGGAATAAAAAAATAATACAAATAATTATTTTCATATATTCAAATTTTTCTATAAATTTCTTTAAAAAGTGGTAAGAAGTAGTATTGTTTATTTACATACGTCTTTGCTTTTAAAGCAATGGTTTGAATACCTACTATATTTTTAAGATGCTTGGAGCCAAAACCATCAATAACAACTATTATAATAAAAAAATAAATTAAAAATGATTTATTTTATTTTATTTCTTTATGCAAAAGATTGTATAAGAAAAAAATACTTTTAATTTTTTAATTTCCAATAAATTTTCTATGCATGAAAAGAAAAATAAATAAAAAATAAATTTTTAGAAGAAAAACTAATTTTTAAAGCTAATATATTCACCATTAAACTTATTATTTTTTCATTAGAAAATTAAAAGACTTCTTGCCATCATCTAATGGTAATTTTTATCTAATCTTATATTTGATACAAGCTATTATTCTTTCTATTGCCTATTTTTATTCTAATTATTGTCATTTAAGAAAACTAAATAATGTAGAATCTTAGTTTTGGCTTCATTGTAGTATTAATAGATTGAATTAAAAATATATATCGAATTTATTATCTTTTTGTAAAATAAAACTTTCAAGTTCAAATATGAATACCATTATGTTTATATTTCATGTTTTTTGATTGTACAAGTTGATTATGTCTTATATATATATATATATATATATATATATACATACATATATACATATCAATACATATGGATTTTTCAGATTTAAATATTAATTTATTCCAATAGATGCTAAAGTTGAATAATTGTATACAATTTTTTTATTTTTTTTTATAGATTTTATATAAACATCAATATAAAATTTGAAGATCATACAATTATACTTCGATAATTGACCAGAAATGATTTATCATATGCACATAACTTGATAATTTTCTAAATTTTATCTTAAAGACTAATAGAAGATATAAATTTCTTATAAAAAATAAAAAATTCAAGAATTAGAATAAGATTAGAATATAGATCTATAGAAAAATAATTAGAGAACTTAGAATCTTTGTATTTTATTATATATATATATATATATATATATATATATATATAGATATATGTAATTTTTTTAGAAAATTAATATTTTAAAATTCAAGAAAAATTCTTGACTACTTATAATTTCTTTACAAGCATTATTTATTTATTAGCAAAGAGGTTATTGGATCTATTGAAGAGGAGCCTAACATTTCTAAGATGTATCATTAGACATTGTTAATTAAAACACAAAAAACTTGGATATTATCTAAGAATTTAAAATTACATATATCATTACTATTACATAATATTTTATATAACTAATAGAATCTAAGGCTAATTTATATAATATTTATTTTTTATTTTTTGTATTTTTTGAAATGACAATAGAAGTAAATTATCTAAATAAGTTTAATTATAATATTAAAAAATGACATCTTATTATATCAACGTATTGAAATAATATTCTATTTTGAACAAAATATATAAATTTTAAAAATATAATATTTTATCTATATTATTAAGAAAAAAAATTAAAAAATAACTAAAATTACTATATTTGATTTTATAAATATCAAAAAAAAAAATTACCAATTTATATTTATCAATATGTCTTAGAAATACATTGTCTTTAGATGTTGATGTGATTTGGTTAAATCTTTATAATATGGTCTACGAAAATATAAAAAAAATAAAAAGAATATAAATTATCAAAACAAAATAAAGAAAGTGTAAAAAATTCTTTATTAATCCATAGTTGGTTGCATTAATATTTTTTCAAATCTAATTTTGAAAGGCTTTTATAAGCATCTAACTATTTGGTTCTTACAATCAATTCAATGTCATATTATAAGACCTACAAAAAATTGAGCTAATTAGATATATTATTTAAAGTATACATATGTGGTTTAATTTAGAATATATTTGAAAGGAGAATAAATTCTTATTTAATCAAAATAAATTTTAATATAATAATATTTAATATTTTTGAATATACTAATTTTCTAAATATATATTATGGATAAAATAAAAAAATAATTTTATTTTTATTCATCATAATTTTTAATCTAATGTGTATTAAATCTTAAGTGGCATCAAATTTATAAAAAGAATATGGTACATATTGTGAATATTGCTTAAATCAATATTTAATACTAATTTTTTATGTAGCAATAGCAAATAGTTTATTCAAATTATATTATCTTTTTGCAAAATAAAATATTCAATGTTGATTTAATCTCAAGTACTACAAGAATGTTTTTAAAACTATTTTATAAATATTATGCAGCAATAATTATAGTTTTATCACACCACTTGTAGTCATCTAATAATAATCAAGTATATATATATATATATATATATATATATATTGGTATCCAAATATCAATGAAAAT